ACAAGAAAAGGACTGATTTATTTACAACCAGCATGCGCATTCCAATACAGATAAGAGAGAGAGAGAGAGAGAGAGAGAGAGAGAGAGGGGTGAAGTGAGTCGTGGTTGCTTGTAAGAGTGCTAAAAACACGAAGGTCCAGAGCCTAGTAGTAAAAGACTTGAGAGGAAACCAAGAAAGAAGTTTGTATGTATACATAATGGAAGCGGTCCTCACCAAGGAATCATAGCCATTGCTACTCCAAGTTTTTTTTTGCGAGACATCCGCCTCACACCTATCTGCATTTTTAAGCCCGGCTGCATTCGTGATCTTGGCAGCTACGCCCGCGATAGAAAACAATGGAGTAGCATCTGCCGAGCCATTTTGTCTAGTACTGCTCTTCCTAACCCTCAATTCATGTTTACTTTTTCCTACGTTCCCAGTATATTGGGGTCCTTTTGGATCCCGGGAACGTGTTTGACCTTAGTACAGTCTGGATCGGCTATATCGTACCCTTTTGATTTACGTGGTTTTATCACTATAACCGATGCAGCACTATATGCGACACTCGTTTTTTTCTTTTTTCCATCGACACATGAAAGGCAAGGAAATACTTCCAGCATCGCGTTTTGACAAATGAGCATGCTGCATAGTTGACAGTGCCCGCATTTCCATAAAAAATTCTGTTATACAAATGTACATGTAAGACAGAATTCACAGCCATCCAGCGAGAGGCCGATCGTGCTGATGAGCCATGGCGTATGGTCAAGAAACTCGGCTCTCTCCTTGGTGATGCAGAGGATGTCACCCGCAGAAAGCAGCTTGCGGCGATAGCGTTTAAGTCCCTCTGCCAGTTATGGAAGAGAAGAGACCAAGTGAGTCTGGAGGTGCGCGTCCGGCTGTATAACTGCTTCGTGTTACCTGTCTTGCTTTACAACTGCTCCACATGGGGCATCACTCGACAGACAATTGAAGCGCTGGAATCGTATCATCGGCGGCAACTTCGGCATATCTTGGGTATCAGGTGGCCCAACCGACTGTCGAACGATTTGGTTTACGAGCGCTGCAGTGCTGCTCCACTTGGCAACATTCTGGTGAATGCAAGATGGCGGTTGTTTGGCCACATCCTGCGATCAGATGAGCACACACCGGCAAGGGAGGCCATGAGTGGATTCTTTGGCTGCTCCGTGCCGGGATACCGTGGGCGGCCGCGGATCACGCTACCAGTCCTGCTGAATCAAGATGCGGAGCGAGTCGGCTGCCGTCTGAGGACTCCAGGGGACTTGCAGCTGATGGCTCAGCGAGCACTGGATCGCCGTGAATGGACATATCTGTGCAACGCAGTTACAGATGCGTACAAGGCAGAGTACTGGTGAAGGAAGTTGGCACTGCAATGGTTTGAGCTACATTCTTTGTTGTTGGTACTCTGATTATCCGTATTATCCGTATTCACATGGCCTTTGCCATTCATTCAGTATATTAATGTCGTCAATAATGATATTCTTGTTTGTATTAGTTTATGTGACACCATTTTCTATTTTTCTTTGCCTGCCTGCCTGCTGGTGGCCTTTTTTCGCATGGTTCGGTGCAAGCGAATTTGGGCGAGCCCATTGACGCGGGAGCACAAATAATAATAATAATAATAATACATGTACGATATCACTATAAAAATAAGCAACGTGAAGAAAGTAAAAAAATTGGTGACTTTGATATTATTGCTACACAAGAGAGAGATTGGAAGCTTTGTTACAACTCTGAGTTTCACGTATTAGTACGATCATCAGGCAACTGATTATTGCTACATGTATTTTAAAGTTATCACTATAGCCGATAATATATTTTAAATAATATAGTGTGTTATGCATGTTTTGATTCTTTGTTGCCATCGATATATCATTACATCCGATAATATTGGTTATAGTGATATTTTTACTGGATAAAATACGCTTTGCTTTTGCTTTTTCGTACCATCATCACTGTAGAAAGGAAAAGAACATATGGAAACGAGTTAAGAGTAACTCTCCACCACCGTAACTAGATACTATATACAGTCAGAACGTGCAACAACTAGACACAAAACTGACAGAGTACTGAGACATTCGACGTCCTGACACCTAGCTTCAACACATCTCCGTAGCGCTAACCGACAGCCTTCCAACTTCAAAAGTTCAAGGTTATAGAAATACCAAAGAGGGGAAGGCAACTGTATATAGTATCTAGTTACGGTGGTGGAGAGTTACTCGTTTCCATATGTCCTTTTCCTGTCTACTTTTATTATTGGCTCAATACCCGAGTTTCAAATATCACTGTCGTCGATATATTCTTATATCCGGTCACTCCATAGCTGGTACAGACTGTACAAGACGCTCCATTTTCTTTTCAATTTCGTTTTCCCACTCTCACACACACACATGCTCACAGTTAATTCTGCCGTCGTGATTCCCATTCGGGACGGATATGAGAATAATATTAGTAATAACTCCGAGTTTTTTAAATTTATTTATCAATCATCAGGCAGATGATTAGCATCGCATGTGGTTATTGGATTCTACAATACCAATCTCTCAGGCATTAAGACGTTCACATATAGAAAGATAAAGAAAGATATACCCACTTGGGCCACATTGCAACAGTGCGAAGGATGATGATGATGCAGAAAGTGGAGAAAAGGACAGGTGGTTAGTCTGCAAATGCAGTTTTGTTTTAAATCACAAGGCCGCATGTGTCCGACGATTATTCTTTCATCCACCTGTTTCAAATGATGCGGAGAGTGTACATTGATATCCTCTCCATATGAGAATATAGTAAAGAAAAGGACCAAGGAACTACAAGTTAAGCTGTAGTGTCTATTTATTAACCCCACCAAGTCTTGTTAGTAACTGGTGGTGTTAGTGGACATTATAGTGTAACTTGTAGTTCATTGTTCTTTTTCTTTTCTATACATTTATCCTTGCCTCACCATCTGAGTCTAACGAGAATAGCTCGTCTTTTGTGTATGTCCATGCAGATATGCAGGATGAGTGCAAATGGCCAAACAGCCGTACGCTGGTCTACAGACCTGATCAGAATCGATCCATTAGCGTGACATGCCAGTGCAGTGCGGTCCCCTTAGCAACATACACGCGCACTATTGATCGGATGTATGGTGCCTTGAAGGGCAGTACAACCACGAATATCACAGCCATCAACTCAACATTCATTCTGGATATTCTGCCGACAAGTGCTGGCACATATGGATGTAGCGCCTCCAACAATCCTCTTGCTGCACCAACTGATGTGTTTAATTCAACCTTTACTATCGATATCAAAGGTAGGTGTTAAGGAAGGTTGAGCAGACAGTCCTTAAATCATTTTATTGCTGCAGCTTGTGGTGAGGATTATAGTTCTTGTCAGCGCCAAGGATTATTCCAAGCCAATTTACACATGTCTGCCAGCTAACTCCCGATGCCAACTGGTTAGACATCTACTGTCTACTTTCCAGTGGCTAGAAATGTTCTGTTTATAATTACAGTGGAGATTGGATATAATGACCTTGCATATAACGACAAATCGAGTTTAGCGACAAAATTATGTTGCCCAGGTCGTTTAGCAAGTCCTTTCTGTAAATTATAGACCAGGTACAACGACCTCGAAAATAACGACAGATCGAGTTTACTGACACCTTTTTGGTGCCCGAAGACCTGAACACACTTGTACATCGAATATAACTACTTTCCTTTTGTATCAGGAGGAGTGGCATGCATGGGACATGTCTGTGTCGTATGCCCGGACCTCCGGGTCAGTTTGGTCACTCCACGCGTGCTGGTCATTGCACATCGTAGCCGCAGTGCAGTGGTGTAGTTGCTATGCATGACTTTGCTTGAACTATGCATGACTTGGCTTGAACTATGCATGACTTGGCTTGAACTATGCATGACTTGGCTTGAACTATGCATGACTTGGCTTGAACTATGCATGCAAGCCACATGCACAACACGTAATTAATCCAGTCATCTGAAATCCATTATGCATTACATTATGCACATGCATATCTGTGTAGCGTATAGCGTATCCCCGTACGTTAGCATATCCCCGTATGTTACTGTATTCCCGTACGTTAGCATATCCCCGTACTGTATTCCCCTACGTTAGCGTATCCCCGTACATTAGCGTACGGAGTCTGCCTTTGTATTAAAGCTGCTGCTCACGATTCTTTTGTTGCCAGTTAGTTAATTTAGTTGCCAGTCAGTTCATTAAGTAGCTAGTTAATTTCATTGCCAGTTATAATTACATTTCAATTGCCAGTTAAAGTGTGTTCACTGAGACCCTTGTGTATTCTTGCCTCCGAGAGACTGCGGCCCGCTACAAATTGGTGGCAGCGGTAAATTCATTTTGTTTCATTCTATACCTTACTTTGTTACTTTACACGTTCCTCAGACCCCCATGGCTCAACCTGCTGTAGCTCCGTGCGACGAATCAAGATGAGAATCATGTTTCTTGCCTTCCTGGGCTTGGCTCTGCTTATTAGCCTGCAGCACAGTCAGGGTGCTAGCGTGGATCACCCTTCTCTCCGCACGGCACTCACTGGAGACTCCGATGGCGATTCCAAGCGACCCGCTACCAACATGTATACTACCGGTGGCGATGGCGAAGCTGATGAGGACGACGACAGGCTGGCTGCTGACCAAGACAAGGAGGGTATTCCCCAAGACCTGCAGCGTTTGATTTTCGCCGGCACCCAGTTGGCAGACGGCCGAACCCTGAGTGACTACAACGTTCAGCAGGAGTCCACTATTCACTTGGTACTTCGTCTCCGTGGTGGGATGCAGATTTTCGTCAACACTCTTCCTGGCTAGACCATCACTCTTTACGTCACGCCAAGCGATGCTATCGACAATGTGAAGACCACGATTCAAGACGATGAGGGGGTAATCTGTCTGACGCCTAGCTAGTCGCTCTGAGTGACCGGCTCAATCAAGATGAAGATAAAACCTGGCTCGCCCTCCGCCGTAGCTCCAGCCGCCGCCGTGGTTGCTAACGCTGATTCCAGGTATGGCATTTTCTTTCCTGTCTTCCTTCAGTCTTCCTATTCTCCTCAGTCTTCCTTTATGCGAGTGTGTGAATCCAGTTTAGTTTGGTAGGCGTCCGATCATGGTGAGCCACGGTCTACCCAGCTAACCTGGGACAATGTGTGTGACAATGCCCCGTATAGTGAATAGTGATAATTATAATTATAGTATAGTGTATTCAGTTCGGTTTTTGAACTGCGATGTTCCTGGCAGGTTGTGCCAGTGTTGTGCAGCAAGAGTGCTGTGGTTTTCAGGTCCTATTTGGAGGACAGTTCTTTCCCCTTTTGACCCCGTGAGATCGTGTGAACCTGGTGTGCTTCTACTTTATGATTTGTTTATCAGTTCATTCTTCTGTCTATTCCAAACATTATCATTTCCGATATTATTTGCCATACTCCGGTTGACGCTCTCCCAGTAATTCGCGATCTACTATAATGTTCACGACTCCATACCTGTATTATATTATGCAAGTCATCCATTCTGCCTGTCTTATCGTCGCGTTTACTCCGACGCGACCATGCATGCCGCCAGTTTTTTTTCTAAATTGCAGCCAGTCGTTGATGTCCACCTATCGCCGAGTATTCGAATCACGAAGACGTGATTGTATTTGAGAGGGGAGGTGTAGCGTATGGCGTATCCCTGTACGTTAGCATATCCCGTATGTTACTGTATTCCCGTACGTTAGCATATCCCTGTACTGTATTCCCATACGTTAGCGTATTCCCGTACATTAGCGTACGGAGTCTGCCTTTGTATTAAAGCTGCTGCTCACGATTCTTTTGTTGCCAGTTAGTTAATTTAGTTGCCAGTCAGTTCATTAAGTAGCTAGTTAATTTCATTGCCAGTTATAGTTACAATTCAATTGCCAGTTAAAGTGTGTTCACTGAGACCCTTGTGTATTCTAGCCTCCGAGAGACTGCGGCCTGCTACATCTGCAATACATTTCTATCATTTTGATAAACATACTGCATAGTAAATGTGAAGATCGGGTTTAGTGACAGATCGATTATAGCGGCATTTTATCTTCTCCAGAAGGAGTGTCGTTATATCCAATCTCCACAATATGTAGGACTCAGTGAGCCGTCACGTCTCGATGACCGATCATGACCCACGTGACAAATCAAACAGTCACAAATCCCCAAAGAGCAGTCATAAAGTCACATACCAGTTTGTATCCCGACGACCGGTCACAAACAGCCGCGACTTTCTCTGTGAATGGTCACAGGATCCACGTCAAAATATTACGACTCAACTGTAGCCATTCCATTCACGTGATCAAGAAACATTTTACTTCATAGGTTTCAGAAGTTTGCAAGAAAGATTTCGATCAACTCTCGATCTCCGCGTGGTCTACTTATAGCTCGAATCTGGTGTGTGTGTGTGTGTGCTCCTCTCCAAAACGAAGGCTGTTTAAAAACCTTGCAGGCTTCATATAGAATAACTTTTGAGAGGACGCTCTGGCTAGTAGATCGTGCTATTCATCATCTTTGAAGAACAAACTTCGTCGTTCAGAAAAGGCAATTTCGGAATATTTTCTGTCAGGGTATTTGTTGTATGCTGATCTTGGTAAACTGGAGACTGATTTCAAATGATCCAGCACACAAGCAGCTCTCGCTTTGTGTTTTTGGAGAGGAAGGGTGACAAAATTACGGAGTCAGAAGTGGACGTCGTGGACGATGCAAGCAAAAGAATAATGAAGATGGAAATAACCGACGAGGAGACAACAGTCGTAAAATAGCAATGAAAAATATCAATTGTGCACTCATAACCATGTATAAACAATTAAAATGAAACAATTCCAGAACGTTTTCGTGTGACCATCATCAGTGGAACATCGTCACATAGTAAGAATCACTAAAACAACCAGTTATATAGCTAGAGTAATATGAAAAGAAGCGCAAGAATGCAGCACAGCTAGCGGTTATGCATAACGCGTGTAGTGTGAACCTTTGCAGTTTATCTGAGAATGGTAGCAGTAGATGAATGTCGGAACCAGTAGTGGCAGGTGAAAGTACGGGCGCAGCAGTGGACACGTCAAGGAGAAAGAAGCGATGGCATGAGGAGATGGAGATGGAGGATGATGATGGGGATGAACAGGATGGTCAGGAGGAAAGCAAGGGTGAGCAGGAACAGGAAGTGGAGGATGAGAGTGATACCGACGAGGAGGAGTTCGACATCGACAAGAGCAAGTCTGCCATCTACAAGCATTTGGTGTCCAGTCCGGATTGTCGTAAGTTGTTTGACGATTCCTGGTTTAGTGTTATTTGTCGCGACCATTTCTTTAAGCAGTTGCAGGTGTTGGAAGCTGTATATATTCGCACACGTGACCCTGTTCTATGCAAGCAAAAAGAAAATGTTGTAGCACTCACATTTTTTAAATAATACGCACTCACCAGTTTTTGTTCACACGCACTCGCAGCTGCCACATTCATCTACTGCTACCATTCTCAGATACACTTCAAAGGTTCACACTACACGCGTTATGCATAACCGCTAGCTGTGCTGCATTCTCACGCTTCCTTTCATATTACTCTAGCTATATAACTGGTTGTTTTAGTGATTCTTACTATGTGACGATGTACCACTGATGATGGTCACACGAAAACGTTCTGGAATTGTTTCATTTTAATTGTTTATACATGAAGATGGAAATGAAAAAAATAATGAAGATGGAAATGCAAATATGTTCGCCTCCAAGAAGGTACTGAGTACATCAAGCACTTTCCCGTGTGTGTAGCTCTGTCTTTATTGTGGGGAAACTCCACACAAAAAAACAAAGTCCAGCTTGAACTGCCTCTCAGTTGAAGTCGTTTAGGGAAGACATCCATTCAAGGCATCATCCATTCTCAAGAACCATCGTAAGGAAGTTTATCAAGTCATGTTAGTGATGAGAATGGTGATGTAGACCGGACTCGAAGTGTGAGTATCTTGTTTTTACTGAAGGAAACTGTATTTCAATATTGTGGCACAACATAATGCTTGCACAGTTTATTTCCACGAACACATCTTCATTCCGGTTGTTAAATATGGTGATAAAGACACACCTGGCAACATGGCGGTAAACACACGCCTGCCCACACATGCTCTCTAGGCTGCAAAGTTCTGGCACAGCTCTCCTTCTCACCACCACCATCAGTTCGCGCCTGGTGCCTAGTCGATGCATGGTTGGCAGTATCCGACATGGCAGGCTGGTACATCAAGTAGCGCATGGCACACTGAAGATAACACAGCAATGACATAGCTCGATTGCGATGTACGTTTCGTCTCCGCTGGGCTCATCAGGAATCTTCTTCTTGGAAGTCTTCATGGGGAGCTTGACTCGGGAGAGTGAAGTTGAAGGCACAACTGCAGCTGTACTCTCTGCTTTTTTTGCCTAGCCCATCAAAGTGGCAGATGGTGTTGTATTACCCTCGAATGCAAAGATAATGGGCCCCAACCAGCGAAAACAGCCCTTAGGGTAAAAAATTTCAAAATTCTTTTTTGTTTAGAAATTTGTTGAAACACATCTACTGAAGGACCTCAGCCAAGAAAAAGTTCAATATTCCGATTCTAGGTGGGTGCACCGGTGGGCAGCTTGAATACTTTTGAAATAGTGCAAAGCAGCTATAATGACAAAGAATAGCTGATGAGTGCGGAGAAATGATCGACATATTCGCAGCTGCATCCTGCGTGGAGTCGTTCCGCAATCTCGTCTTCCATTTCTTCCTCCGCAGCTGAAGACACGACGTTGCTGCCGTCACTAGCCCCAGACCCAGAATTTATCTCAGGGGACGACTCCTCATCTTCCGACCCTGACGAGTCATCGGCCACCTTGAGCCGCATTGCAGCAGGAGATGACGGCTGCGATTCCGCCTTGCTGTCGGAACCAAATAACTTCTCATCCTCACTCCGAACTTCAGCGGCTACTTCAGCATCCACTCCCCAACAGGCTCGAGCTAGCTGTACACAATGACTGCCGTTTGTGCACTGCGAACAGCTCTGGCATCCGCAGCCATCACAACAAGATCAAGGAACACTGGAGTCGCCACTCGACACCACTTCAACTTCTAAACAAATTACTTCAAGCAAGGAGTTCAAGAAGTCGTCGCGCTGTTCGCGCTGCGCGATCAAAAATCGTTGAACGTCACAAATCGACCTTTTTCTCGAAAAATTACGAAATCTCTAAGGGTCGTTTTCGCTGATTGCGGCTCAAATATTATTTCTTTTGCTCAGGGTCCTACGCTATTCTTTTTTTGCCTAGCTCATCATGCATGTTATTCGAACAGATAGAATCTTTTTCCAATAAAATTGTGCAGCTGATCAGTTCGTTGTGGTATGGCTGGGCATTGTAGCCGTCATGGTCGACTTAAAGCACTATTTACATACACAAGCTCGGGGAGCAAAAGTCTCTCTGTCCCATAAGCTGCTGCCACATACCAACTAAATAGTCCAATAAATTCTGCAATGACTTTTGCCTAGCTCCTATTCAAACTGATTGAAACTATTTTGCAATACAATGATGAAGCCAATCAATGGCATTTCCATCAGGTCTAATAACATGCATGATGAGCTAGGCAAAAAAGCATAGAGTAGGGCCTTGAGCTTTTAAGCTTTCTCGTTATAAGTAGTAGCAAGGCACTAGTGTGGAACTGCATGCTTGTAGCAATCAGTAGCTTCGATTGTTTATTCTTTGTGTAGCTCCGCCACATATGACGTTCAGTGACAATACTGTCAGGTTGGGGAATGATATCACTGTGGATTGCACAGTAAGAAGTTTTCCTCGGTCATCAGGATTAGCATGGACGTATGCTAACACCACCAGCGTTGTGAACAATGGCCAATTTAATGTGACTATCCTTGGCATGCCTATGCTTAATTCCACGACCGGTCTATATGAGCAAACCATTTCCTTGTCCATTACCAATGTTCAATTTTCACATCGCGCGAATTACCTCTGCGTTGCGGAAAATGGTGTTTCTCCAACTGATCCCGCTCTGGATTTCCGTGGCAACAGCGATGTTACAGCAACAGCTACATTTAGCCTTGACACACAAGGTGAGCCTTATATAGGATATATTATATCTCCCCTTCCTCTCTCTTTTTCTTTCTATACCTCTCTCTCTTTTTTTTCTCTCTCTCTCTCTCTCTTTCCATCCTTCAACTCCACCTCTATCCACCCATCATCTAATCATCCCTCCTTCCACCCATCCATCCATTCATCCATCCATCCATTTAGCCATCCATCTATCTGTCCCCGCGCTAATCCTTTGATAACTCTGATTTGTGTTGCATGCTCAGGTATTTCCCACGCTAGTTTCTTTCCTGACGTGCCAAGCCAGAATGTGTATCACGTACGTGAAGCAATGATCGTCAAATGCTCAGCCACTGGCTTTCCACAGCTCCAAATTAAGTGGTTCAGCACCGCTGCGAGCTTCAGCAATGCCACTCAGACACACAACGGAATGTCCACTACCACGTACAGTTTCAATGCCACGAGTGGCGAGGCGGTGGGTGTGTTGCAGATCGACAGCATCCAATACTCAGATGCTGGTCTCTACTGGTGCCAGCTAGATAATGGACTTTTCGACAAGTCCTCCAACTCTGTCAACATCACCGTCTTGGGTAAGGAAACCATGTAGTTGCTTCTTTATTTAAATGAACTCTGCCTATTCTAATTGTCCGCAAACTCCAACACAGCCGCTAAGTCTTACATATTTAAACTTCACTTCTCAACTCCAAAAAACGGTCTCTTCACTGCGATTCAAATCAAAATCAGAATCAAAATTACCATTACACCAAATTTTCGGGCTTGGCCCATCATCAGGGTACTGTAAATAAACAAAATTTCGGCACTGCAAAATGTCGGCACTTCACGATTTTTGACATTTCGGCGGCGATTTATTTTCGGCGTGGGGTAGATCAGCATAGAGGGCAGGGTATAGTGCGACAGATGCTGTGAAAAATTTCATCGGCGTTTTAGTTTAGGCGTTTTGGGCCGGTGCCTAATATAGCCGAAATTAAATAGCTGCCGAAAATTTGTATATTTACAGTAATGAATGACAAACAAAATATCCATTGCATAGATGTCTTATTGAACTACATGTATGAAGACAACAACTAGTTTGTCTCTATTTCTTAGTTATTGAACTCTGCCTACGTCTACCACTACTTCCTCAGCGTCATTGAAATTTATTTTGTCCACTCGAAGGGCAAAGAAATCAGCTAGAAATTGAGGCAGAGCATTGTCGACGAACCAAGCTTTAGTTTGCGGCCTCCTGCTTCGCTGCACTTGCACCTAAGGTTGACGTCTTCATCAGAGTTTGAGGCAGACACTCCAGCACTCAAAAATACCCTGCACAAGACGCACGTTCATATTCAGGTCAAGAAACTTCATTTTCAATCGATCAGATGCCTCCAGGTGGCAGGCGATGATGGCAAACTAACATTTTCAAGTACACTGTAACGACCTTCCAGCAGGACAGGGTAAGCAGTTCCGCACCTTCTTTCCTTGGCAAGCGTTTCGCTGATTTTGATGGTGTTTTCAGATCTGCCATCTAGCACATTTTAGGAAGTCGAGAGCAATCTACTCTTACCATCGTCAAATCAAATTCAGAAGAGATACCGGAATATTTTACCCCCGCTTGCAGTCTTGATAAATGCCCACCCGAACGATGTGGGCCGGCACGAACTCCCGAAAAAGATACAGGTACGTGGTCTAGGGCGAAATAGTGTGGAGTGCGATGAATATTTTGGTGCGGAAGAAAGCTCCGAGACCACGACGGCTTCAGGAACAAGTAAACATTGCATAGGGCGGATCACACCAATGTTCGAAAACTGAGAACAGCAAGTTCGACACTCTGACTAAGATGAGAAAGTCACAAACATTTCGATGTGCGAAGCGACAATTTTAATAATGACACGGAGGAAGTAAAAAGAACAGAGTTGCTTTGCAAGAAACACAATTTCTTAAAGGATTCTAGAAACCGAAATGAAGCTATGAGAAACCATTTTCGAAAGGAACCTTCGAAAAACCTTCTTTGTGAGGAAGCTCTTATAGGCTTTCTTCATAAGGGAGCTCTGAAAAACATTCCAAAGCTCTATAATACATTCTTAGCATGGAGTCTCTCCCTATTGGGCCTTATTTCCACTGCAGTCGGGGGTCTAGCCAAAGCACCTTAAGCCGCGGAAAAACATGAACAGTTTGCACCGCTTTTGCGGAGGCGAAAAGCGTGGCTACCGCAGCCGCTTTCGCGGAACATACGATGCAGCTTGTGAATAAATCCATGGAATGGAAGTACAGTTGAACATCGATTATCCGCACATCGACTATCCGACCATTCGATTATCCGTAACAGTTTTTTGGGCGCACGTGCCGTAGAGTACGCACTGTGCATGTAGTGAGCCATTCAAAAAATACGAAAATTTTGAAAAGTAAAAAGTAAAAAGGTCGTGCGGCTAGTAATAACCACTGAAAGTGTGTGAGTGACAGTTTTTTCTTATCCGGAACATTTGCCTTATCTGAACACCGCCTGACAGTTGTCTGCCCAGAGGTGGTCGGATAATCGATGTTCAACTGTACATGTACATGTACACGTTCATAATAGTTGGTCGGTTGCTTTCTGGTGTTGGTGAAAGGAAAAGCGAAAATTGTGGCTCAAAATGAAGGTAAAATCACAAAAAAATGTTGCGTCCAATGATCCGCGACCGCGTTCACGTTTTGTACTGTCTAGAACCCTGACAGTGAAGGGATTTCCATGTCACTGATTTGGGTGGGTTATGTGTGCCCTACGGTAAGTGCTTGCAGCTGAAGATGATGTACACGAGTGCAGGATTCCGTGCATTCCGTCCTTTCCGAAGGCTGGATCATTACAGCGTTGCTTTTCGATTTTTTTGCAAAGCGCTGCTCTTCTTCTTGAGGCTACTGTAAAAATCCGTTAATAAGCCCCGGTCGTATACTTTGCAGAGCGTCAAAAACCGGGCGTATATTTGGGCGTGGGCTTATTTTAGGGCATGGGCGTTATTTCGGACGCAATCTGCAGAAGATCAATCTATCAGCACCCCACTAGTTTCAGTGAACCACCATTCACACTGAGCGCGGTACAGGTACATCAAACCACAGCTGGAAATTTGGTCGTAACCAATAATGTAGCGATAAATTACAGATTTGATAGGTAAACCACTTGCTATGGTAAGTACAAGCTACATTCCAACGGAACATCGCTGTCCTCGCGCGCCGTGACAGTGTTGAGCTCTGCACTGTGCTGCGTGCAGTTGGATGGGACGCACTCGATCTACAACTGTTCCACAGTTTGTAGCCGAACGCCCGCTCGCGCGCTGGGCATTTTGAGTCCACTTTACGCCCTGTGCTTATTTCTGGCATGGGCGCTAAACCAGACTTGAAGTGTACACTGCCTAAAACTGGGCTTTTTATTGGACATGGGCGTTATGTAGGGTGGTCTTATTTACGGAATTTTATGGTATCAATTCTGTTGCCCAGCTCTTTCTGTGCGAAAAGTTGAAAAATCTTTCAATTCCGACCTCACTAGCTTAGGAATTGAGGTCCACGAGCGCCTTCTGCTCCTCTGCTTGCTTCTGCTCTGTACATACTTTGAATGGCACAATAGCTGATTCTTTGGGGAAAGTCTTCATAGCGAAACACACTAATCATTTTAAAGAGAGCCGATGTTAATGGCGGAACAAGGCAAATCAGTGAGAAGGAGAATGTACACAACAGGATGCTCATTTGAGTGCAGACAGCGGGCAGCGCTAACACAGTCGCTGTATTGTTTGTGTTGAACTGCCTTCACCAACCCAGCCTGATACTCTTTGCCTTGTTTTTGTTCTGCTCAGGGTCCCCAAACAACACATTCATCAGTCCGCTGTTGACACTAAAAGAGTTCTCCAAAGGCATTGTCAGCTGTGAGTTTACTGCCCGTCCCGCACCCTCTCTCACTTGGTATGACCGGTCTGGAGTGAAAATTTCAAACTCTCCCAACGCTACAGTTACTGTCAACCGGACTGTGCTGAATCCGGAAGGTGACTTCACTGTTCGCTCAGTGCTTTCTCTGACCAATGTACGCCGTGATGATAATACCCAGTACCTGTGTGTAGCAAGCAATGGACTGGCCAATACGACTCGCCAGTTGAATTCCGACCGCTCTAGCGGGGTGAATTCTTCCTACTCAGCCACGGCGACAGCTACCCTGGACATCTTATGTACGTATTCATTGGATATTTTGTCCTTTTTCTTTATCGTAATGATAAGGATAGACTGGGATGGAGAGCCACAAATTAATTTATATTAAAGAAAAGAACCAAGGAACTACAAGTTACGCTTTAATATCCAATAACACGAGCAGTTACGTGACAATCAGCTCATGAGATAACATTGCACAAAACTGACCAACAGTACGAAATTCTACAACTCGAATAGGAACAAGAATAAGAAAAAAGTAAAAAGTATGCACAAACAAACAGACACAAACATGCAAACACCAGTAAACATGCATCCATACAAACACACAAACACACAAGCACACAAACACATAATGCAATTGGCTAGGGTCAGGGATCCTTAAAAGAATTTCGTTGCCATCGTCAGGATGATTTTACTGGCAAAGCAACAGTGAGAATAATGAAAGCCTAGAACAAAAAATTAGAAAAGAAAAGGACATATGGATAAGAGTTTTAAAAGAGTAACTCTCCATCACTGTAACCAGATACTATATACAGTCAGAAAGTGCAACAACTAGGCACACAACTGACAAAGTACTGAGACATTCGACGTCCTGACAACTAGCTTCAACACCTCCCCGTAGCGCTAACCGACAGCCTTCAATCTCGGAATGTTCAAGGTCATGGAAAGACCAAAGAGGGGAAGGTGAGCGCAACGTTGCACTTTCTGACTGTATATAGCATCTAGGTACTGTGATGGAGAGTTACTCTTAACTCGTATCCATATGTTCTTTAAACTTCTATTCCTTTCTACATATATTATTGGCTCAACATCCGAGTTTCAAAGATCAAAAATGCATAATCCAAAACAGTTGCAATCGAAAACTAGAAGATGAGAAAACAATGAAGGAGGTGCATGAAACGTAACTGGGAACTTTTGTCTAAAGTTACCACCAGCTTCAGCAATGAATGAAACTAATTGTGCACTCATAACCATGTATGCATGAACAATTATTATTATAAAATGAAAAAATCCTAAATGTCTTCTCGCGACTATCATCAGTGGAACATTGTCATATGGTAAGAATTACTGAAACAACCAGTTAAAATTATAGCAGCTCGCGGTTACACAAAGAGTCAATTATACCAGCAGTGTGAGTTTATGCATTGAATGTGAAAATGGTAGCGGTAGATGAATGTGGCAGCTGTGTGTCAACCATCCAAGTAACTAGAACGAGGAGGTACACTATTCAACACATGCTCAAGACCACAGGATATTCAGCCAGAACCAATACACATAGCAGGGGCGTCACAGGGCGGGTGGGAGGGGGTCCGGCATGTCCCCCGGGAGAAAAAAATTCGGATTTTCGGCCAACAGGGCATGTTTTAGCACTCTACAGGTAGTGCAGCTGCAAAGGAGGGTCTCCCTAGGCCCTACAAGCAGGACAACTGCGCGCACTCCAGCTCCAAAAATACTTCTCATGGATATTTTTGGTATTTTCTGTGCACCTCAAAATGAAGGGTATTACAAGGCGGGTTCAACCGTGCAAACATATATACACACTGTACCACCATCGACATCAGATACCATCAATGCCGCAGAATATATGCACATAGGACTAAACTGGCTAGCTACGACTACAGCTTGATTGTACCGGGCACGTGAATCTACGTTGTATCGAGAGTGTACACGTCGGGGACTGCGCCCTAGGGTGCGTTATGCCGAGGTTTACGTTATGTAGGACTAAACTGGCCTAAACTGCCTAGCTACAGCTACCGCTTGATCATACCGAGCACGTGAATTTGTGTTGTATCGAGAGTGTGCACGTCGGAGACCGCCGTAGCGTGTGTTATGTCGAGGTTTATGTTATGTTGGATTATGTTGTGTAGAACAAATTTTGTATGGAAGTGATGCTGTTTCGGCGCGGGATTTGATTTTTTTATGTACTAACGAGGTTTATGTGCAAGTGAGAGTTGTTATATCGAGAGCAGACCTGTACAAGCATGCTGCATGCTGTGCGTTCTAGCGCCAGCCGCTATTCAAAAATGTACCGGTATATCATGTCCTGCGAAAGTGCCCCGCATCCGCTACATACACTATGTACACGGCTGACCCGGACACTCGCGAAGTAATGTTAGTTGTTTTTTTAGAGAGAGAAGATCCTTTTTTTGTTCGGTGGGACTGAAAGATCTGCCAGTGGACCGGAGAGGTACAACACTGGAAGCAGAAGAAAGAGCTTGCGGAATCTTCTCTGTCTTCGTGACAAAAGGACTTTAGTTTGTGAGGGACTTTCATCTTGTCGTTGCGGACGCAATTCTTGTTGCTGCATAAAGCTCGGAGAACGAAACGATCGTAAGTCGTTTGGTGAAGCAGGTCGTGTCGGTGAACAGCTGCAGAATGTTCTGCCGCCGTAGAGCAGCATTCCAAACACTTTTCAACTTCGAAGAATGAAGCGCTTCCCTATTCGTTGACAAGCGCAGCGTTCGCGGTTGTAATGCATTTTTGCATCAGCTTGCAGTAGGTCGTCAGGAGCCAGAGGTACTAGGTAGGTGTCGTTGTGGAAAGAATAAATATTATAGCTATGTTGACTGACATGTAGCTGACAAGTGACATACCTGTTGTGTCTCCTGACCGTGCTGATCATCCGACGCCATTGTAATATGGTAGATCTTGAAATTTTTCACTTCTGGACGCAGTGATCGCCGCCAGCGCTGTTTCCGTCAAGTTTGCAGTGAATGCGTTCGTGAGGAATCCATCGTCTGGTTTTCTCTACCGTAACTCCAACCGCCTATCGCAATGGATAGCCGCCTGGAGTATTGGGCAATAGCTAGCTGCTTGGCATCAAGTCTGAACCAAGTTTGCTCCTTGCAATGAAAGCTGTGATGAATTGGGTGGACCATCCTGGACGAAAAGTGGTACGCCCACAGTCGTAGTGGTCGTACCGTCTGTGATGCCCCTGCTTAGTCAACACTTGGAGTGATAATGAAACCGACCTGATTGCTTATGTAATATTTCTGATTGAAGACACATGATTATAATGGCACTTCGGAAGATAACTGTGCCATGCAGGATTGCCGTTAAGGAGGTTGACAATGCCAAGAACTCAGCAAGTGAAGAAACTATGCTGATACATGTAGTATAAATAAACGGTGAAGAAGAGGTTGGTGCGACTTCGGCAATACTTGGGGAATTGTATGTTCCTCCCTGCGTGGGAGCTAGCGCTTTTCCTGCCGACTTTGAATTCTCGCTTGACTGACTCACGACTGCCATCCAGAGCAGACGAGAAGTCTGTCGAACCGTCCACTCGGCACACCTGCAAGAAAGCACCACTCCCTGCTCAATACACAGTGTATCGAGGAATTCACCACTCATCAGTTGAGCTTGAGTAGGCTGAAGAAGATTGTGCCTGAAGAGCACCACTTACTGTATATAGCGCTCTCCAGGCACAAACATCACCAGGGAACAAACTTACAGATAAAGTAAGCTACTTCACGTACTTCAAGTAGCCATTATTACCCTTTTAAAGTGCCGTTGATCCACCCCCTCTCTAATTCCCGCCCCTTTCAATTTTCTACCTGAGAAGCGATTCCGGCGTATACAACAAAGTACGATGTTGAACCGACGATTGCACTGCTGTACACAATACGTGCCAATCCAGGATGAAAATGTGGACAATCCAGCACATCGAGTCTGATCCTCCACGTTGCTGTCCATCGTACTGCATTTCACAGCCTTGATCTAATGCCTGCCCCCCCCCTGCCGAAAAACCAGCTGGGATGCGACATGGCGGGGGGGCGGGGGGGGGGGGGCGGGGGGGGCGGGGGGGGGGGGCGGGGGGGGGGGGGGGGGGGGGGGGGGGCGGATCCAAGGTACTTCACGGTAGATACACGGTCAGAAAGTGCAACAACTAGGCGCAAAACTGACTAAGTACTGAGACTACAATTTGAAGGTGCAAAGCAGCACACCACCCAACTGGGGTGGCTCAGAAATAACCAAGGGCAAGTGCAGACAAGGAAGCTTTGCAAAAACTAATTGTACAAAAACAGAACGCCAAATTCTTACAGTACTCCTCGAGCATGATATTGTGACCGACTAGTTGAGTACAAAACAAGTAGTTTCGCACCATGTACATTTCACCGTATGGTTCGTGACGGTTTTTCAGATGTGCAATTGGAAATTTGGATTTTGAGCCAATATACATGTAGAAAGGAAAGGGACATATGGAAACGAGTTGAGAGTAACTGTCCACCGCTGAAAAAAGAAAGGTTTACAGCCAGAAAGTGCAACGGCTAGGCACAAATCTGCCAGAGAACTGAGACATTTGATAGCATGACATCTAGCTCCAACTTTATCTTCTTGTCCCGTGCAAACTCTCTTGCCCTCTCCACCTGAATGTTAGCCGATTTGTGTGTTTGCTAGTAACACATATTTCTTTGCTTCATTCTCTCCATTGGCAGTTGGTCCTGTTATCACTAAGGGATTGTACGAATGGTATAATGTGGACCTAGGCGGGAACATCACCTTATCCTGCACAGCCACTGGCAACCCTTTGCCAGCGGTTTACTGGACCAGATCTGCATTTTACAATTTAACCAGTCACTTTCGGGTTAGGAATGGAAAGTCCCGAGAGAGCTTGGCACACATTAGTGTCCCAGGACAGGAGTTGAATGGATCAATCGGTTGTACGGTACAAAGCAACCTTAATCAAGGAGTTACTTTAACCACGACAATCTACTCGAAAGGTAAATATTGGGTCATTGGTGGCAGGGTACCTATGTTCGCTCTCTCTTTCTCCTCTATCCCTCACTGCCTTCTCTCTCTCTCTCTATATCTATCTATCTATCCCTCACTGCCTTCTCTCTATCTATCTATCTATCTACACATAAAAGGCACAATGGAGTTTTACAGAGTTGTCGCAACTCGGAGTTCCTTGCTCAATGCAATCACCAGGCGACTATTACATGCTCAGTGGGACTTAGCCAATATAAAGCATAGCCTAGCGATAGCTGGTTGGTGTTTGATTCAGCACAGAAAATGTTGCCATGATGGCCGTGTGGATGGTTGCTTAGGTGAGGGAGCTATTACAGTACCGGGGTATTAGCGCAGAAAGTGTAGATTGCTATTGAATATAGAAATGGAAGGTGTGAATTTGTAGACAGCAGCCAGGGTGTGACAGTAATCCCTCAGAACTGTTAAAGTGTTATTGGTGATGCGAAGGGCTCTAGGCTCACACAATCTGAAGCGAGCACATACGCGGTCCTTCCCATGACCAATCTCAACGGGTGGACTGGCTTATTTGCCACCATTCGTTTCGTCGGCCAGGTGACAAAGCAAAACACAAGTGTAATGCAGAGCGAAGTCTCCCCATCCAGGATCAGCGTGGTGCTTGGCAGTGTGGTACATGCAGGAGGTGGTTACACTCTCGTGGTGGCTTGCGTGTACATCATTGTTTGACCCTGGAACCATGGGAAGCATCCGCGCCGGTATCACCTATTCCGCTCAATGTCCCAGCTTCTCTCTTGTGTGTGACATGTAATCGGCAATTCAAGTCAGTGGCTGGTTTCAGACGTCACAAGTGCGACCGTGGACATCGAGCAAAGGCGTCCGATAGAGCGTCATATTGTGTTCTCTGTTCTCGCTGCAACCGTCAGTTCCGTCGACAGAGTGACCTGAGTCGTCATCTCCGTTTCTGCTCATGACAATGGCTCCTTTCGGAGTCGTGTGGCCCTTGTGGCAACCAAGCTACAGTAGTAGTAGTAGTAGTAGTAGTAGTAGTAGTAGTAGTAGTAGTAGTAGTAGTAGTAGTAGTAGTAGTAGTAGTAGTAGTAGTAGTAGTAGTAGTAGCAGTAGCAGTAGCAGTAGCAGTAGCAGTAGCATTAACAGTAGCAGTAGCAGTAGCAGCAGCAGCAGCAGCAGCAGCAGCAGCAGCAGCAGCAGCAGCAGCAGTTGTTGTAGTAGTAGTAGTACTCGTGCGCAGCATAATTTCTCGTTGGCGATACTGTCTAAGGGCGGTCAGCTGTGAGGCTACACTGCTTGCGAAGCTGGATCAGGCCATTCGGGAAAAATTGTTGCCCGCAGTCTCCGACATGATTTTGCAAGATGATGACCCGCTGCGATGTTTAATTTCACTGCCTTGTCGAATGGGTGGGTTAGGTATCCCCAAGATCTCAGATTCTTGCGGGGTCGCGCACATAGAGTGCAAGCACACGGTGAATCCCATCGTCGAATTGTGTGTGCCTCAATTACAGGAACAGCCTGCAGCATCATCTAGGTCTCAAAGCCTAGATTGGTCTCAAAGCCTTCATGTTGCATCGCCTCCTGCCGAATCGTCGGCGGCTTCTCCCAACACGCAATCATACGGTGTTGGAGAGGATGCAGGTGAGGAGGACGGTGATGATTGGCCGCCGCCACGACCTCCTGTGACAGCGCCATCTCACGGAGCTCGCAGCCTCATCAGCAATGCAGTCACGGTGTGTCGCAGGCGCCTGCAGAATACCCGCAACAACAGAGTTCGTCAAGAACAACAGGTTCTCAACAACATCAAGGACAGTTTGTCTGAAAGCCAACGGTTCCTGGTAAACATTTGCAGTGGTGCCAGCAAAGGAGTCTCATCCTGGCTCACGTCATCGCCAGGAGTTGCCAATGGTACGGTATTGAATCGCTCGGATTTCAGAGACGCTATCGCCATTCGTTACGGCTTGCAGCTGGATGGCCTATCCCCAAATTGTGTGTGCGGCAAGGCAATGACGGTGGACCATGCGATGACCTGCCCTTGCGGAGGGTATCCATCCGCCAGACACAATGAGTTCCGGGATCTCCTAGCAGATGTAATGCGTGGAGTTGTTCAAGACGTGGAGGTCGAGCCGAAGCTCCTTCCATATCAGGAGGAGCAGCTCCAGGGGGTGACGGCGAATCGCTCCGTTGAGGCTCGTGTTGATATACGGGCTCGTGGTTTTTGGACGCGGCAGCAGGAGGCCTTCTTCGACATCCGGGCGACGTACCCTAGGGCCAGCCTGCTGTCGTGTTCCAAAGTCACGAGTCAATTGGAGCGTAACGAAGGAGAGAAGAGGCGGCAGTATGGCGAGAGGATCAATACAGTTGATAGAGGGAGTTTCACTCCGCTGGTGTTCGCGACCAATGGCATGGCTGGGAAGGAATGCACCATATTTTTGAAATATCTGGTTATGTCGTGTACTGTCGCGTGTTTAAATGTCTTGCTCAGTTTGCAAAAGATCTCCAGTTACTTTTTTTTTAGTTTTAGTTTTTTAGTTTAGTTTTGTTTTTCTATTACGAATGCCCTCTTCAGTGTAATCCCTGTTTCGTGCCTTGGAGTTACAATTGTGTTCTTTTCTTGTTTTCTCGCTAGCTTCTCTGATTATTGATTTTGAATTGCCTTCGTCATTGTTTTGCTTTGAATCTATTTTTCGTTTTTGTTCCTTTTCCATATTTATAACTTCGGGTTTTTCAAATACAGATTTTTAGTAGTAGTAGTAGTAGTAGTAGTGTTGAGTTCGAAACAGGACGACTGACGACACATTATCCAGACATTACAACGGGAACAGGTAGGTTGGGGGAACGACATTTATTATAGACGACGAGACAAGAGACCAAGACGAACGAAACGACTACATTGAAGAGTGAGAAAAGAGAGAGAGAGAGAGAGAGATCAAGTCTGAACGGCAAGATAAAGGGCCTGGGTAGCTATGGCAAATATGGGCGCGCAAGTAGCTACCCAGGCCAACGGGACAAAAGGAGACAAAAGGTGAGTATGTAAGCGCATGCAGGCCAGCTAGAAAAGGTACGGGAGGAGGAACCTAACATACCACCCCTCCATGAAAAAAATCCCGCGTCCTCGCGGAGAGAAAAAAAGAGAAAAAGATTTAAAAAATGAACTGCAGGAGAAAACACACACACACACACACATACTGCACGCGCGCATGGATCTCACGAAAGTGTGTACTAAAAATACACTCGTACAGATCATTCCTGTACTACTTATTGTGTGTAATAACTATTGGAGTTTGATGAGGAACGTGAATTACTAGTATTTTGCACGGCAAATACAGCCTACTTACACTTTTGCTAAACATCAAAAAATTAGAGCATGGCTCACCATGATCGGACCCCTAACTTGGTTATGTTTTACGAACACACGCGCGCGCAGATACTACAAAAGAAATTTACGAAAATAAATTTGACGAAGAAGCATACAAAAAAAAGAAAGAGAAAGGTAGCTGACCTGCATGGCTTGAACCAGAATAGACGAGGTAAGGTTGGCGTAGGAGAGACGAGGTTGATAGAGACGAGACGAGGTTGGCGTAGGAGAGACGAGACTGACATGGACGAGACGAGGTTGACATAGACGAGACGAATGGTGGTTGAGGACGGCTGGGCATGGGATGATCTCAGGGTCGTGGGTCGATCAATAGTCGGGCGCCAATGTTGAGTTCGAAACAGGACGACTGACGACACATTATCCAGACATTACAACGGGAACAGGTAGGTTGGGGGAACGACATTTATTATAGACGACGAGACAAGAGACCAAGACGAACGAAACGACTACATTGAAAATTGAGAAAAGAGAGAGAGAGAGAGAGAGAGAGAGAGAGAGAGATCAAGTCTGAACGGCAAGATAAAGGGCCTGGGTAGCTATGGCAAATATGGGCGCGCAAGTAGATACCCAGCCCAACGGAACAAAAGGAGACAAAAGGTGAGTACGTAAGTGCATGCAGGCCAGCTAGAAAAGGTACGGGAGGAGGGACCTAAAAGTAGTAGTAGTAGTAGTAGTAGTAGTAGTAGTAGTAGTAGTAGTAGTAGTAGTAGTAGTAGTAGTAGTAGTAGTAGTAGTAGTAGTAGTAGTAGTAGTAGTAGTAGTAGTAGTAGTAGTAGTAGTAGTAGTAGTAGTAGTAGTAGTAGTAGTAGTAGTAGTAGTAGTAGTAGTAGTAGTAGTAGTAGTAGTAGTAGTAGTAGTAGTAGTAGTAGTAGTAGTAGTAGTAGTAGTAGTAGTAGTAGTAGTAGTAGTAGTAGTAGTAGTAGTAGTAGTAGTAGTAGTAGTAGTAGTAGTAGTAGTAGTAGTAGTAGTAGTAGTAGTAGTAGTAGTAGTAGTAGTAGTAGTAGTAGTAGTAGTAGTAGTAGTAGTAGTAGTAGTAGTAGTAGTAGTAGTAGTAGTAGTAGTAGTAGTAGTAGTAGTAGTAGTAGTAGTAGTAGTAGTAGTAGTAGTAGTAGTAGTAGTAGTAGTAGTAGTAGTAGTAGTAGTAGTAGTAGTAGTAGTAGTAGTAGTAGTAGTAGTAGTAGTAGTAGTAGTAGTAGTAGTAGTAGTAGTAGTAGTAGTAGTAGTAGTAGTAGTAGTAGTAGTAGTAGTAGTAGTAGTAGTAGTAGTAGTAGTAGTAGTAGTAGTAGTAGTAGTAGTAGTAGTAGTAGTAGTAGTAGTAGTAGTAGTAGTAGTAGTAGTAGTAGTAGTAGTAGTAGTAGTAGTAGTAGTAGTAGTAGTAGTAGTAGTAGTAGTAGTAGTAGTAGTAGTAGTAGTAGTAGTAGTAGTAGTAGTAGTAGTAGTAGTAGTAGTAGTAGTAGTAGTAGTAGTAGTAGTAGTAGTAGTAGTAGTAGTAGTAGTAGTAGTAGTAGTAGTAGTAGTAGTAGTAGTAGTAGTAGTAGTAGTAGTAGTAGTAGTAGTAGTAGTAGTAGTAGTAGTAGTAGTAGTAGTAGTAGTAGTAGTAGTAGTAGTAGTAGTAGTAGTAGTAGT